ATATCAGCATCTTATCAGTTATGACATGGCGTAAACTTCATCATGCACGTTCCTCAAGTAGGGACTACTATTTTCTGTTGTCATGCTATTATGGATAATCATTAACAACACGTCTCCCTCCTTTCAAGTAAGATCTTTCATTCAGGCATTTGTAGTGAAGTGACAATGTATGGCTAGGCAAACTTATAGAAAATGGGAGTTGTAGACTTCCGAATTTCACGGTGTACTGTAGCGGTTGAGGTGCAATCCCATCTCATAAGCTGGCGGTAACAATCTCGAACTTTCGTGCTGTTCTTCTTCGTTTCCTCCGAGTATCATCGCCTTGGTATATTATCGAAGTGTTGCCAGACGGATTTGGCTCTGTCGAAAGGTCAACCGCGAGAACGCCAACACTGGTGTGGGTAAGATGGAAAGAAAGAGAAATTCGTTCAATTAAAAGGTACATCACGAATCACGGCAATGTGTGAAGTGATGTGTTTTGTTATGGAAAGGTTTTCCGTAACGATCTTCTCTTGGGGAGGACCGAGCTGCTCTCAGAGCAAGTGCAGATTAAGTATCTTACGTCTTACAACGACAATCCAATAAGAACATGACAAAAAACTCAAAACAAAAAACAAAACAACAAACTCAAAACAACAAACTTCTCTATTTCAAGTAAACAATAACATGTTAACGATTATACAATTAAGAATAAGTAATAAATGGAGAATTAATAGAGAAGTAATCAAGTGAAAATACCATGCCTATATTTAATTATTTAATTTAATTCAATTTAGATGAGAGAGTTCCACATATAACATTATGTGACTATTAACATTATTGAGTAAAGAGTAAAAAAGCTCAGAATTGCAGGAACAACGTTTACAACATTAAACAACACATATTGTATCAACGTGATCATCATAAGAGCCATACTCAAATCTCTCATTTAATCTCTCATTATAAATGTCCAAGTTCTTCATTAGGATACTTTCTGAAGGGATAAATTGCAACCATAACTGTTCTTGAATGCATATTAAAGTTTTTCATCATCTAGATTTTTAAGACCTTATTGTAATTGCGTTTTCTAGCCGATGGTGTATTATATTATCATGAAGCTCTTACTAGTGCGAACTCATCAGCTTGTCTAGTGTTACTCAACAAAATGTCTTCCAGCGCGAATTAAAGATTCGATCAAGATGTATTTCACTAAGAATTCTGCTATCATAATTAACACTACAGGGTGCGCCATAAATATGGTAATAACTTTTCGGGCGCCCGTGATTTCCTTGCTTGGAGGATTCCTCCAAACCTGCACCTTCTCTTATGTTTGTGATAAACCTTAGTCCACATGTCTACTTTGGTGCTCTCAATTCCTCAGATTTCGAAAAACGGTGGAGCCTCGCAGGCATTCCTAGCTCCTCCATCTTTGCGCGCACTTGGTGAGTCGCTTTCCGGAATCGCTCCTCGTTTCAACATTTCCCGCACTGACAGTCTGTTGAATCGCGATGCCTAGGCAGGTCAACGACAAACCTCAAAACGGTCGTCTTGTCTCACATACGACCCCTTTTCCCCATACAATTGCTTTGGAAGGAGTAGGAACCTGCAGAAACGCGAGAAAAATTGCTGCTGATTTGTTTGTATGCTCTACTCCGATGAGAAGAGTCTACCTCAAGTAAATAAGATTGTATAAAGATAGGATGCGAAAGCCTTATAAGCATCTTCTCGAGAAGTTGGAGAGAAAATACAAATGCCGTGCACTACTTGCGCGCGATACGCGCTTCGACAGAGTTTTTTCCGACTGAAGTGTGTCAGCGCTGAAGAAATGTTGAGATCTCAGAGTATGCCTATATTTTTACACTACGAGTGCTGAAGACGCTGAAAAGGTTCACATATCGTCTCTCATAACCTATTCCCCTCTTTTATGATTGTTTGGGTCAGAATTTCCACCATCGCGGCGATATCGCCAATTGTGGTCGAGAAAGTACAAAATTCAGTCCATACCTTTCCAAAAAGGGTTTTTATGAAAGGATGCAGCAGAGGGTCAAATATTTCTTTGAGGATACAATTTGAAAACTGCGACGCACTTGCTCACGAATGGGAAAAGATCAGGACTGGTGCTGAGGAAATGCTCGCGACTTTCCCAGCTTGCAATCCTACTACGAATCTCACGGACCACAGTGTAATAGGTCGCTAGATATAATCCATAGCGGAGAGGAAAGCCTGCGATTCAGAACGCAATACTGCTTCTGCTCCTAAGATATCATCGGAAAAGCTTGGGCTGGAGTTCTTCAAGTAACTCTGCGTGTCACCGTCGATCAGCAGCCTAAGCGTCTTCGAGCTATAATTAGTACAGTAAACGGTTATATAAAGTGACCATGTGCTTGTTTTGTAGATGCGATGCACAGTAAATAACTCACAGGAATTGATAATGTATTAACATGAGCTGCGGTTACTGGGGGTCAATTTTTTGTTACCATACTTATGGCGCACCCTGTACAATGTGAAATTTTGTATCCATTTTTTATTAGCCTCATGATGATTAAGGGCGAGGCGACTGGCGACTCGACTGCAGTTGAGCAGGCGACTGCTTTGTTGCCTGCTCGTTCAGAAGGAGATGAAGAAGCGTTTCGAGCTGCTGAACAGCCAGGCTAAAAATATTAGATTCATACGGGAAAAGCCCAAAGACACTTGGCTGCAACACGCAAGTTCACTTAAACGGGGGTTTCTAGGACTAAATGGTATAGAAAACCCACCAGCAATAGCATTCTGGTTTATTTGAGGTGCGCGCATCCTCTCAAATCCATCACAGCGAACATTATTAGGACAGCAAAAATGGTCTCATCAGGTGACCGCAGGGCGGCGGAATTAGTTGAGCTCGCTCAAGAGGCGGCCATCACTAATGGGTATCCTTTGAAGGAACATGCGTTCGCAGAACCCTCAGTAACAGACCGCTGGACATACTAGCGAGAGTTCGGAGAAGGTGACTTTTTGCCTTGACTTCACATCGGATTCCGTCAGTTCTGACGGAAGCATAACCCCCTTTGGTCATCCATCCCAACGGACGAGAGAGATACTGCATGGCGTCAGGGATGATCTATTCGATCACTTGCGAGCTCTGCGGGGACGAATACATAGGTGAAACCAGGCAGCCTTCAATATGTAGGCTTAAGGAACACCTAGCTGGTCTGAAGAAATCAGTACCGAAACCCCCCACCTTGGAGACCATCATAGGCAGCAAGAGGCACGTAGAGTATGAAGTCTCAGTTAGGATTTTGATGCGAGAGCCCACGACCTCCGCGCGCAAAAGTTCGGAAGCGTTCTAGATCTGTGCATAAGACCCCAAAATCAACCGGAAAAACGAATGCCTGGCCATAACAAATAGACTCGCCCCCTTCCTCGACCTGTGTGGGCTACAATTGCCACCGGCTTCAAGTCGGGGGTCAGGTAACCAGGAGCCTCCCACTGCGAAAGCGTTCAAATAGGCAGTTTGAAAGATGGATAACATGCCATCTTCTCTACTTTCAGGGTGCGTCCCTAGCCCTTCGACTACAACGCGTCTGGCGCGCGGGACAGAGGCGTTTCGAACCTTTCCTCTTCCGCGGCACAACGTTGAGCCGCGCTGTCCCACGGTTTATACATTTTTCTAGTGTAGGCATTTTTTGCTTTTTTCAAGCATTTTTTTCGTGATTTAGTCTGAAATAGGTGTAAATTCGTTAATTGTGAGTTCTCATCTTTAGTAAGGTCTATGCATAACATGACTTTGGGATCCGAAATGGATCAGCCTGCAGTAGACGATTTAGAGGGTGGTTTTGAATGATTACTGGTCGAATCCGACGAAAATAGAACTGAAGAATAAAACGTTTCAAGCCATGCTTGAAGGTGTTACACATGGGGGACTAAGACTTACTTACGATTTAGATTCAAGATTTACTTTGGTAGGCAGCCCACAAGCAAGGACTCAGCAGCTGTATTTGCTGCGGTCATGACTAATGGACGGACCATTGAATCAAGGAACGCAACTTTTTACCGACAACTAGTGAATAACTTATTGGAACATAGCACCCACTTGTCCGACGCTCGAAAAGGCGAAAAGGAATAAAGGAATACTAATAAAAGTCGAGGCAGTCAAAAGGAGGCAAGTTTTCAGAAAATTGTTACAAACAACTACCTCGAGTTTATGGAAGTGTTCACACCCCTACAAGACGAGTCAATACTAGGGGCAGTAGAGGTGAAAATCATTTTTATATTGATTGTTTCTAAAAAAANAAAAAAATGCTTAAGAAGTGTGATTTCCAGGGAGTGAATTGAATTTATTTGTAGTTTTCAGAAATTAGCAATGTTTTTCCTAGCCCACTTTGTGTTAGTGCTTGTTGATTGCAAACCCATTAAATACAAAAAACTCCAAGTAGGACTAAAAATCGAGAAAAACAAGCAATGAGAAGGGTGCGGTCCACCGTTGAGCCGCGTTGTCCCACGCGACCAGAACACCGTGGCTCACCGTTGAGCCGTGCTGTTGTCAAAGGGCTAGTTGTGGTTTACGAGTCCCTTTTGGATATCTGAAGGTTATACTTGAACTACTGAGGTCTGAAATGGTGCTTGAATTGTATGGATCTCAAATACTTTTTGGCTTCCAGGTCCTGACGAAGGTGACAACGCCGGAGCGATGACTAAATAGAGTTATATCATCTTAGCCGAGGCTATATAAAAACACCTCTAAACCGAGACTCATACCATGCCAAGATTCATCAGAATTCGATCATGCTTACTAATATTCCCTTCAGCCCTTGCTTTCATTTTTCCTATAGTCATTTCTACATGTTGCGTTCTCCAACCATTACAGGTCAGACAGTAGACAACATTAGATGTGTTGCAGTTAATTTATAGAATATTCCGTTGCCTGCGCTGGACGGAGGAGGTGAGGATAGATGTGTAGTTGGAACGCAAGCCCTGGTCGAGAGTGGTACATAGCAGGGCTCCTTCCCAACATTCCATAGATCTTCCATTTTTTCCAAATCACCATGACGTCCCTCACGATGCCTCCTATGCCACAATTGAGCAATGAGTTCATCACTGATGGCACAGATACAGCCATTTATACGGGAAAGATGATCCCGAATCTTTTTTGCGGAAAACAGCGAGCGGCAGCAACGTTAAACTGCACCTCTGCAGAAAACTGTAAATGCGTACCTGCTGGAACGAAAGTTCGATGTGAATTTCCTCCTTCGGACGTAGCAGGAGAGTTCAGTCACATCGAACTTGAACTACCCGTAGAACGTCTTTCTTGGGAACTAAAAAAGGGCAAGGATGCCGCACCTACAGCTAAAATTCCGAACCTTGTATCTTCGGAAACTTTGGAAATTTTGTAACCATGATAGACTTTTGAAGAATCTTGGCATGGTATGAGTCTCGGTATAAAGGTGTTTTTATATAACCTCGGCGCCAATTCATGTCATATATTAGAAGCGTCCCGCTGCGAAAGACGATGGAATTTCCATGCACGTTAGCTAACATCATTTGCTATAAAAGGCTACAATCATATTTCAAAATATTCCCCATTAGCGCGGATAGAGGCCCAAAGCTTACCCTCGACCTGATCGCATACGACACCCAGGCATCCTTCTTCATTTCTTCCCAGACATTATTCAGTCTTGTTCTCCAGGACTCCAAACTGGGACTGCAAGCTCGATAGGTTCTCTTCTGATCAGGACTAATCAGGGACCACGCGGGCGTGTCAAGTGAGTCACGTTCTGAAAAATAGGGTGGCCCTCACTTTTTACCAATGAAGGCAGGCAGCTGCCGTCGGCACCACTCGCGGGCAAGCTTGGCTCTGTATGCTGGAATAAGAGTCCTGCTGGAAGGACTACGAGATGTTTCAGGGATCGTGCTGTCGGATCAGTGCTTCATTACGTCCATCAGTACTCTCTTTGAGCACTGGGCTTTGTCAATTCTCATGCTGGCACTGAAGAAACTACGAGCGTCCCATACTTGGCAATAACTTCTTCAAAAAACATCATTCTACTCATTCTACTGATCTTTTAGCAACCTTTCTGTGAGAGATTGCACGCTAGATGTTTCTTTCCAGAACGCGAACCTTTTGGTTGTCGAGAGATGGTTTTATCGTAAAAAAACTTTCTGGCCAGAGAAAACGGTGAAGAGCTGCGTATCATCACTCAAGTGGGTCTTCGGCTTTCTGCATTTTTTGGCCCTGCAGTGTCTGCTGAGATCAGAATTGAAGCGAAATTTCTGTATAGGATAGGAATGGCAACGAAGCTTCAGCATGACATTCTTCCACCGCGATAACTCCGATAAGCCGTGCCCGTTGACTTCCTTTCGGCAAGTCACCTAAAACCCCGACCAACTAGCAGACGAACCATTTTAATAGTCCTATCTCTAAAACGTCGGCCTTTCTACCTTTCCTGGTTTCCCTTTGATTCAATTTTTTTTCTATATCGTTGAACAGCTTCCTTACGGTTATTATAAAAATCCCAAGGAATTTTATAATGCCCTTTCATCTCTCGCGTGTCAATGATTGCAAGTGGCATTGAATGAGCCTCCTCNATCTGGAAGATATTGGGAGTTCCACATAAATAACAATGCATATTGCAAGGAAACCTTCTTATGCAACTAAGTAATAACAAGTAATGTGAATTCGATAGATTATTTCTACCCTCAAACTTTCTGAATTTTGGCGCAAATAATTTCGGGACACCCTGTAAATCCGCTCTCACACAAAAAAGTATAAAATGCTCACATCCGTATCCAATCTTCTAGATCTTGGAAAACTCCTTCTTCACTCAATTACAAAACATCACTTAACAGACATGGTAACTGCCCTACTACTAGTGACACTTTATCAATTTATTCTCACTCCGTAGCAGATTACGAGACAATAACGTAAGGAGCGAGGTTGCAATGCGAATGGTGACAACTAGCATTTCCTAACTAAATTAATCATAAGTACTTCGAGAAAGAGTATCTTTCGACTGCAACAGTTTCATGAGTTTGGTGCACTGTAGGAAACTATGCAAAAACCTGTTCATTATTCATACAACAAAAATTTTGATTCGTTTCAGGACACTGAATACAATGAATAAATACATTCTTGACTAAATGGCGCACTTTCAGAAACTTCAGGAGTAGAGGTCGAAAAAAAAGTTGACACGGGCTCGATTATTAGCAACGCCTTACGTTTACTAATGCACTGATTCAACAGTTAACTGCACATCGATTCGAACACAATAAACACAGCTAATGAGAACTTCATGTAGCAAATATGCCTAATGTACATATATATTTTACAGAAGCAAAAAAAAAAAAAAGATTCGCAAAAACCGTGGAAGACGAACGCTGCATGACGACGGCTTGCACCTCAGCAATACTCATTGTATTCATGTCGAATTAACAAGGGTGGCACGTTCCAGCGTGAAAAGATAATTGAATTCATCTGAATCTAGTCGCTGGATGTCGAACATTATCCTCGGGTCATAGGGCGTATCCAGCTGAAAAATCGTGGAAATTGTAAAATATGGAAACAAGATATATATATATATATATATATATATATATATATATATCGCATATTAAAACAGTATCACAGAAGTCACATATTTGAAAGTAAGTCAATACTCGGCGATATTACCCTAAAATTCCATAGATAAGACCGGTTGAAACTACCAGTGAAAAATGAATTGGAATGAAATTGAAATTGAATGCAGTCACCGTTTCAACCGCTTTTATCTATGGAATTTTAGGGTATATACTTACGGCTGCACGACACATAAAAAGAGAACGCTAATGTTCTCAATATCTACGGAAATTTTGCAGAAAAACAAACTCCCTGATCAGCATCATTCTGTACACAACTTGCTTTGAGTCCAACCACATGTACAAGGTGGCTGGAAAGTATAGGATGCGGCGTTTAGCGCTTGCTGTCACCTTAACAACGGCTTTCCGATGCTGTCGTAATCTTTCGAGACTTCGACAGCGAGGGAGCTAAGAAATGAGCCTTATAAGTCATTTGATTTACAGCCTCCTAAACCTCGCTATGAAAGTTTATGCACATCAATCCACCATCAAAAGTTGCCCAAGGAAGGTCTCAGAAGTTGTTGAATTGCGAAGCGACTTGGCATTCGCTCTCGAACCGTTCAAAATGTCTCTGCTGCACACAGGGCGCGAGGACGTGCTTCTGACGAAATGGTTTCAAATTCCCATGAAACTCTGAATAGAGACCTAAGCATATCGATATCCCTTAACAGATTTAGAAATGAAAACTGCTAAAGAGTCTACAAAAGGTGGTGAGCGCTCGAAGTTTGCAGCGCAAAGCATGGAATAATAGTGCCATTTGATATGCGCGGCAGAGGAGCGATGAGAGACTGCTTCCCATTGGTGTTTTTGTTTTGCAAAACGTGTTTTCTTTCGAATGAAAACTCTTAATCTGTTTTTATTTACTCATTCAAATCCGCGATTTGGTTCGGCTATCATTTTACTCGAGTTAAGTCAGGTATTTGACAACACATTTCTTTCCTCACCTCTAACTACTTTTTCCCCGCATTATAGAAGGTTTTGAACAAAGTTTTGTTTTTAAACGTATCTTTCATTCGACTGCACGCCCTGCCCATCGTGGGAGGTGTCTCGCTAGTTACAAACCACTCTCTTTGTTTTCATTTCTGGTGTCCTAGCCTTCGTTGAATCAAGTGACAAAATTATTGAAAAGTACCGTGCTAGTATGTGCTCTGTTCATGTAGACCTAGGCTCCATGCATCCCAAACTTGAATCGATCTCAGGTGCTTCTTCACAAGATACCACATTTCGCGACTGTCAAAGAGACAAACATACAGACAGTCAAACAAACAGCCACACCATGTGGCTTATATATATTCAGGATAACGACATGTGGATAGCATAGAGATCATGTCTCCACATCTGATTAGGGTCGATTCGCACCATGATGCGAAGTGGCTTCAACTGTACACCTTAGCCATAGCAGTAGCCCCGGAGCATTCTCAGCAATCTGTTGAGTGACATTACTTTTCAGTCCAGACCCCAAATTCTGGGAATACGCCTGACCAAATCATCCAAACCCTTCATTTTTACTATGCCAGTTATCATAATTGATATCACACAGATTCTGGAGAGCAATAGTGCTAAATTTACCGGTGGCAAGTCGGATGACTTAAGTTTTAAGCGCCCCAACGATTCTAATCAGCCAACGTTTGAATGTATTTTAAAACGGAATCAGTCATCACCAGTATTGTCTTCCCTCGAGGTGCTAGGAACATTTTCTTTCGTCCCTGCCGCGAGGCAGTATAGCTCAGTGGTTCTGGCCTCTCCAGCCGATCATCACCACAAAATCGCACGACATGTCCAGCCAGCTTCTCTGTTCTCAACGTGTGACGGAAGTCGGAACTCTGGATTATATGAAGCTGGAGTATTCGGGGATGTTTCTTCGATTAGCGTGCGGGGAGCAACAGGCAACAATGAGTTTCTCATGGACATCGCCTTCGTTCTGCCTTGAGCCGATATTTCCACGAAGCTCTTATATTGGGCCAGCATTCATTCGCCTGCCCGATATTCATTGTTATATGCACGATGTCTCCTGCAAAGCGGAAACGATGCAAGTAGCGGCCATTAACTTTCACTTCCAAGTTTACCCATTCCAATGACGCATGATGCACTCGAGAGTGACTCTAAAGCTCTGGTGAGAAGGTGTCGCCCATTGAACCCTGCTTATCACGTTGACCATAACTTTCCAATGGATGACGAAATCATGCTTGAGAAGTCGTTATTAGAGCTCAGAAAGCAGCCTCGTATGTCGAGTAGGAACACCTTGGTTGACCAAAGCTTCAATTACCACTTCTGCCTCGACGGTATCAAAGACGTTCCTCGAATCAACGAAGTCAGGTATAACGGCATCCTAAACTCTCGCGATTCTTCGATAAGTCTTGTGACAGGGTAGATACAATTTATTGCACCGAACCTTTGCTGAAGTCCTTCGCATTTCTGCTCCTTGCCTAATATTTTGCCGACCTTGATGAGGATGACTCGTGTGAACAGTTTGTAGACGAAAGAGAGAGAGCAGGCAGATTGGGCGAAGTTATCTCCTGTTTACCCAGCCAGCAACACGACTTGCTAGCTTTCTTGACGTGGGCACTTTGCATGCCGATAGATTCCGCTATGAGGAGCCTTGCCAGAGTTCTTACAATAACTGATAAGAAGCTCTTCAGATGTTCTGGTTTGATCCTATCGGGAACGGGCGCCGTAAATTCTTCATCAACGTGATAGCATCTCGAATCTTTTGAGGGGAAGTGGGAAAAATAGACTGCATAAGGTGGTAGGTAGGCAGGTAGACGTGGCTGTCGAAGAATTTTAAGTAGAAGTCGTAGATGACCTTCTCGATCGCCCTTCGAGATGCAGTAACTGCTTCGCCAAGGTAAGAACCGAAATTATTTTGGTCTTGCAATTGCTTCGCGTCAGAAGGCCCCGCAAATGCTTTTTCCTTTCTCCGCGGCTTCGACCAGACCGCTGCTCTTCTCGAGTCATATCTTCCGTTGTAGCATCTTCGCATAGCATCGCGAGTTTGGACGTCAGGCTCTCGATTGTCTGCTGCTCGCTCTCTTGTTTTCACTCAGGGTTAGAGGTCGGAAGTGTACGAGGAGACGTCTCCTGACCATTTGTAGGCTCTCTACCTTCCTGGCACTACCGCGACGCTGCTTGACGAGCCGATCGTACCTATCCTACTTATATAATCGGCTAAGTGTGTCTGTTGGTGTGTTTGTGTGTGTGTATGTGTGCGTGTCTGACCGGAAATTCATAACTCCTGTCCCCGTGGACCGAAAGCGTTCAAACTTGGTAGGAGTACAGGCGGCAGGATGGAGACACTTTTAGTGGGCGGCAGGACCGGACTCCTCCCAAAGGTGGCGGGGTTTGTGAGAAACAAATGTTCGAGCAAAANAAAATTCATAACTCACGTCCCCGTGATCCTAGAGCACTCAAACTCGGTAGGAGTACGGGCGGCAGGATCAGAACACTTATGGTAGGTGGTAGGATCAGACTCCACTCACATTGGGCGGGGCTTGTGCAAAAATTCACAACTCCTGTCCCCGTGATCTTAGAGCGTTCAAATTTGGTAAGAGTTATGGGAACAGGATGGGAAACTCATTGTAGGTGGCAGGACCAGACCCCGCATAGGGGCGGGGATTGCGCGAAATTCGTCAATTTGGCTGTAGAGCGTTGAAACTGGGTAGGAGTACAGACGACAGGATGGGAACACTTAGTACAGGTGGCAGGAAAAGACTCCGACTACAGGGGCGTTGTTTGTGCGAAAATTGACAATTTGGCTATAGGCCGTTCAAAGTATTCCAATTGCACGAAAATTTCACGGAGGTACGCTTCCTTAGCCGAGCTGTCCCCTTTTTTTTCCTTGGTGATATTATACGCCGATTGAATAATCGCCTTTGTGTTATCATAAGATGTTCTTACCGGACACAGCGAAGATTGCTCACAAAAAAAATCGCTCCCAATTCGGAGCTAATGCTGAGGGCGTAGAGCATTCGAGGAAAATCAAAATCCGAAGAGTTATTTACGCATAGCAAATTCCTTACAGGAAGGAGGACCGCCTGGCGAAGCCGGGCGGCACCATAAGAAGGAGGGAAGCCCGGCTTAGCCGGGCGGCCCGACTGGTCATAAATGATTTCGAAAACGGTGCCTTCCACCAAACTCTGAATGGATCGGGAGGATCCCTTTCGATGATGGTCTAGGGATTTGCTTCTTGAATTTCGCACTGTCACGCTTTATGATTTCTTTAACACCAGACTTTTAAACTTCTTTCTCATTCACCTCCTTCTAACTACCCGTGCACAAATCTACTTGCGTTGCTTTTTCACATGACCATTAGAGTGCCTTCGTACATTAGTGTGCTTCCTTCTCTCATATTGCAAGAAAGTTTCGCCGAAGGTTATCCTCACAGCCTCTACACATCAAGCTCACCCGCCGTCCCATAGTCATCTGCATTCATCACTGTGAGATGTAAAAATAAGCTGTAAACAATCTATGATGCGGTAATGACCTATTTGAAAGGAGGACAAGGTACTATTAAAAGTGCGTATGGTTGCACACGGTGCGAATGGTTACGAAAAATGCACAAATCGACAAATCGATAGAGCAACTGTTACAAATACCTATAAAAACAGCTCGAAAAAATCTCTCTTTGATGACCTGATTTCAGAACAATCTTTTGAAGAGACCTAGAACCCCTTCCAAAATACCTTCAACAGTTTCTGCAACTATACGTGGACGGAGAAGTCCACGTAGACAGATCATGTTTGAAAAATATGACACTGTGTCAACATCCACGAATGGCACGAGAACAAAGAAAAACTCACTACTGGAGCTTTCAACTTGGAGGCAAGCTGAGGATTGAGCTTGAACGGAACACCTTCAACACCGTGAATTTTCATTACACCAGGATTCTAAAAAAAAAGAGTAACAAAACGTGATAGAGCTCATATTCATCAGCAGCAACTCATGCAATTACTATCTGAAGACAATAGGCATAAGAATGAATGTTGAGAAATATAACCAAAGACTTTTAACTAGTATTAATTTATGGCTGATGTTACTTTACCCAGTCGGTCCTGTCTCATGACCTTCCGATAAGGGAAAGAGTTCCTTAGAGGTTATTCACCGATTTAATGTCACTTTGAGGTGGAACGAGTAAATTAGTTAGCAAACAATATAGAGAATTACCTAGCCAATCCACACACCTGCATAATAAAAAATATGCTCTCAACACTATAAGATTGAGAAGATTTTGCCGTACAACACCTCCTCATCGTGGAAGTTGAGGGTCAGAAATAGTTCACAGGCATCCCCGGACATAACCCGTGTAAAATAAATAAATAAATAAATAAATAAATA